GCTGCACAGAAGTCATAAGTGAATGCAATTAATTCTTTTTCAAATGTAACAGCCCAGATTCTGAACCGGGACCTTTTATTATTATTATTTTTTAAATCATAGATGTGGCTCCTAATCACGTCTTCTTTGGAGATTAAGTGTACTTCGGTAAATATTTCCAGAGAGAGTAATCGTGTTTATCGTCTGTCATAGTAAAACCAGGAAAGAATCTTGTGTCATCTTAAAAGCGAACAGGTTTTATTTATAGTTGTAGCTGTGTTAGTCTGTGCAAGCTTTATAGGTGAAAACAAAATCAAAATAAGAAGTAAAAAAAAACAACACGTGGTGGCACCTTAAAGACGAACTTTTATATTTTTTTAATGTGAGCTTTCATAGACAAGTCCACTTCGTCAGACATTTTATTTTGCATAAAGCCCCATGGAATACAGCCCAGTGGGTTTAGATCTTGATGCTGTGAACTGCAACGCAGGAAAGCTTACATCAAATAAAAACTTAAAAGGCCTGGAGGCTGCTCTGTGTATATACCTACGTACTGCTTCTGAAATACATGTCCTGCGAAGCTGTATTTCTTGGATATGAAATGAGTACATGTGGAGCAGTGAAAGTATGACTTGCTTTTTCCATTTCAGCTTCCATGAGGGGAGCGATATCCATGTGTCGAAGATTTATGGTGGCCAAATAAACAGGGATTAGAAGGCCATTGAGTCTCTTGAGGGTATCATAGGGAACAACGTCCAGCAAAGGAGGCTTATGGCAGCCTCCAGAGCATGGGAAAAAAGGGTGGTCGCTGGCAGGAGGCCCTCGCTGGGTGGCAGGAGCCAAGAGTTGAATGCTTGGTCAAAATCCCTTAATGACCCTGGTGTGCTGGGCAGATATTCTGGGTTTCTTGGCCAGTCACTCTCAAATGAGAAAAAAAAAACCCATGAGTCTCAGAGAAAGGCTGGACTGGCCTTGTGCTTGAGATCTGTGTCATGCCTAGAGCAGGAAATGCCGGGAGCTCACAGCTTGAGATGGTGAGAAACGGGAAGCAGTCTAGTAAGTACAGTGGTGCCTCGCTTGACGATGTTAATTCATTCCAGCGAAATCGCTGTAGAGCGAAAACGTCATCAAACGAAATAAAAAACCCCACTGAAACGCGTTGAAAACCGTTCAGTGCATTCCAATGGGCTGAATACCTGCTCATCCAGCGAAGATCCTCCATATGGCGGCCATTTTCGGTGCCTGTAAAGCAAGGAATCCGTCCTAGAAAACAGTGGGGACCCATTTTCTTCAGCCCGCGACCATTTTGAAACCCGACGATCAGCTGTTTGCTGATAGTAAAAAAGCAGGGGACTGATCATCACACAGCGAAAAAAATGCATTTAAAACATCATTTTGTGATCACAAAAACCTCAACGTAAAGCGGATTCGTCGAAGAGCGGGGTAATCGTCCAGCGGAGCATGACTGTACTAACAGTAACTCTGCAAACTCCTCCTTAGCTTGGAAATACCTCTCACAGTCTTCGTCTCCATGCTGGGTCTGGGACAGACTCTGTTTATGTTCAGGTAAAGGTAAAGGTTCCGACTCTAGGGGGCGGTGCTCATCCCGTTTTTCAAGCCATAGAGCTAGCGCTTGTCCAAAGACAGTTTCCGTTGTCACGTGGCCAGCGTGACTAGGGAGCGCCGTTTTACCTTCCCAGTGAGGTGGTCCCTATTTATCTACTTGCATTTGCATGCTTTCGAAATGCTAGGTTGGCGAGGAGCTGGGACAAAGCAACAGGAGCTCACTCCATTGTGTGGATTCGATCTTACGACAGCCGGTCTTCTGACCCTGCAGCACAGGCTTCTGCGGTTTAGCCCGCAGCGCCACCACGTCCCACCTATGTTCAGAGACACCCGTTATTTCTTAGCAATTGAATCCGAGTCATAGGTGGAATGTGATAATCCAGCTCTTTAAGATTGCTTTTCCACATTTAATCGTAATGCAGCAAACCCTTCACAGAATCCTGTGACCCTGATCCACCATCAAACATGTTACTATAATATGAGCTTTTGAGGACTCTAGTGAACTTCATAGCCTTAGTTTCTAAAATAAAATCCCATTGCCTCAAAGGGACTGACGCTCTGTATATGCTTAGAGGCAGTGTGGTTTTAGAGTACCAGGGTTTTTAACCAGAAAATGATCCTCCTCCTTGTCCTGGAGCTTAAAAGCAGAGACTAACGGTGTGTGTGGGGGGGTCCTCTACTCCTTCCCCCACCCCTTGCATTCATGACCTGGAAACTCTTGTCAAGCCTCTGGCATGTGCTACCTCATGGGGCCTGTGCCAGCCAGCTGGCACAATTGTTTAATGTGGCCCACTTTTTCAAAATAAGCTTTTTTCAAAATAAGCAGCACCTCCAGGTCGGTGGGAGATCATTCAAACTGTGACGCAGCAACTCCTTGGTTGTGACATTGGTGAGCTTGGCCAACCCTAACTTAGTGAGGCATAGATTTCTCCTCCACACTCATTGTGAACTTGTAGTTCCTTATTTGTTTCCTTCCCTGAGATGTGAGCTTCCAGCCAAGTTGTAGGATCTCGATGTGGGTTAAATCCTTCGTCTCCCTCTTGCTCCCCCACACACTGCCACTCGAACGTCTGCTCCCAATTCTCTCGGGGAAACTGCCAATAATCTGGGATTGAAGCCAGAGATAAATCTAAAACGGGTCAAACCGGAATATGGGGGCAATTCCCAGCCCCCATATCCCTGAGGAGGGTGCTGTTGCCACGTTGGGGCTTATGAGGAATGGCACTTTTAAGGCTTGCAGCTTTTAATTGCAGAGGTTAAGGGAGAAACAAGACAAGCCCTTCCTGTTCTCTTCTAAAATAAGGAAGCTCAACTGCAACACAGGCCAGGTGAAGTTGCACTCCTTCCCCACTTCCCCAGATTCTTATGGGGCAAAAAAGCCATCTGCATTTTCCTTCCATTCTTGATCTCTTTTGCACACAGCCTACAATGGAAGATGCTGATCAGACCGTGCTTGGATCCCTGCTCCTCAGTCCTCCCATTTGCATGATGAGGATCATCATCCTGACCTAATACATTCATGGTGGTTTCTGGAAAGGGGTGACTTCTGTGGAGAATGGCAAGATCTGTTTGTGTGAAGGGCCTGGTGCAATGCAAAAATACAGTGGTGCCTTGCTAGACAGTTACACCGCATGACAGTTTTTTTTGCTAGACATTGACTTTTTGCAATTGCTATAGCGATTCGCAAAACAGTGATTCCTATGGGGGAATTTCGCTGGACAATGTTTGGTCCCTGCTTTGCAAACCGATTTCCGCTAGACAACGATTTTGGCAGCTCCCTCCGCGCTTGCAAAACGGGTGTTTTCAGGACCTAAGCTTCGCAAGACAGCTATTTAAACAGCTGATCGGCGGTTCGCAAAGTGGCTTTCCTATGGCCGATCTTCGATAGACAACGATGATTCTTTCCCATTGGAACACATTAAACAGATCTCAATGCATTCCAATAGGGAAATGCTTTTCGCTAGACAATGATTTCGCTAAACAGCTATTTCAGTGAAACGGATTATCATCGTCTAGCGAGACAGCACTGTATATAGAATCTCTACAGGAATGTAATAAAATAACCTTAATGTTCCCTTAGTGGCTGGGGAGTGTCCGTAGATCATTCAATTCAGTGGCTTGGTGTGGTCTTCTGTGAGGGAGAAAGACTGAGAATTGAGAAGTGGTGCAGAAGTTAGCTGGAAAAGAAATATGGCTTCAAACAGAAAGAAGCATTTTTTTCTTTCTCTCTGGAAAACTTTTATTAGTCTTTTAATTGAGAGGTTTTAAAATGTTTTAATTTTAATTGATTCTCATAATATAAGAATTTTCATTTTATTTTAAGATGTGTAATTTTAAGTAAAACCTCTTGAGTCCCAGGTCCTTGAGAAAGATGGCATATAAACAAAACAAAAGAAATAAATAGAGGAAATGACTGAATGAGGGAATGAATGAATGAAGCCTTTGAGTGGATTGCTATACAAATTGCTGTCTGGAAGGCTGATACAAAAATGGCTGTGTTTGTTGTATTCTGTATGAGGGTCTGTTTCCATCTCCTTGTGCTTCGCTTTATTTATAAACAAAACGAATTATTACCAAAACACTTTAGTAAGTGCTCTCTCTCATCCCAAGGAAACTGCAGCTGGAGTCTGCCATTTATAAGCACAAGTACAGTAATACTAGAAAATATGTCCCATTGAACTTAGGACATCCTTCTCAGTAATTATCCTCAAAATGAGGCTTTTATAGGAATTTCTTGCCAGTTGAATATGGAGCAGTAAAAACACTGGGCAAGTAAATGAAGTGTAATAGGTGATTTTTTAAAAAAAAAATTAATTCCTTTGTTCCAGGGTGGATTTGAATTAATCAAATCAGATTTCTCTGGATGATTTAAATTTTTTAATTTAAATTGTGATTTAAATCCATTTAATTTTTGAAAAATTATTGATTTTATCCACCCTCTTTCAACCTGTTTTGTCGTGTTTCAAATATTGCTCTCGTGAGTTTTCATATGATACCTTTTTAATGCCTTTTTAAATATTGTAATAATTTATTATTTCATTTTTAACTTGGTTTCTTTTAATACTGTAAGCCACCTTGGGTCCTTTAGGAAAAAGGAGGCGTATTAATATTTTAAACAGTAAATAAATAAATAATGCTTGAGAGTATTAAACTGAAACCAAAACGACCCAGGTTGAAACCATCACTCATGAAGTTCAGTGGTTCACCTTGGATTTGTCTTAACTTGCTCCAAGGGTTTTTTTTTATGAGGGAAAAGGGGGGGTGAAATTTTGTAAATTGTCTTGATCAGAACTTGAAAAAGGTCATTTTTTAGACAATTTATACACAATCTGCATGGGATTATATGAGTTGTCATCCAAAAAAAGAGAGGAAGCTGTGGCGTTGAGGTTCTTGAAGGAAAACTGGGATATAATAAAAACTGTAAAAGGTGAATCGATCTATTCCTGCCCCAACAGGTGGCCATGGTGGAGGTACAACTTGAGGATTATGATTACCCCCAGGAACTGCTGGTCGCCTTCAGTGCTTGCACCACCGTGCTGGTGGCCGTCCACCTCTTTGCCCTCATGGTGAGCACCTGCATCCTTCCTAACATCGAAGCGGTCAGCAACATCCACAACCTCAACTCGGTCAACGAATCTCCTCACGAACGCATGCACCATTATATTGAACTGGCTTGGGGCTTCTCGACCGCCTTGGGGATCTTCCTTTTCCTCACCGAAGTGGTCTTGATCTGTTGGGTCAAGTTCATGCCGGTCGGCAGCAAAAACCCTGCCGGGAAATGCTGCGCTCCTGAGCTGGCCGCCCCCGGGAACACCAGCCGCTCAACCGTGGCCCCTCAGGAGAGCGCTGGCTGGAATGCTGCCATGGCTTCCACGGTCATCATGGTTCCGGTCGGGGTGGTCTTCATCATTTTTGCCTTGCACTTCTACCGTTCCTTGGTAGGGCACAAAACCGACCGGCACCAGCAAGAGCTGGAGGAACTCAACCAGATCAAATACCAGTTGGATGGAGAAGCGATCGCTCTGCAGGTGGTGTGAAATTGGGGGCCTTTCCTTGAACTGCAACTTATGGCTTATAGGGCCTAGTTCTTCCTCCAGAGGAAAGGCGTTCTCACTCACGGTCTGACTTTTGATTCAGTGGAACGACTGTGAAAAAAAACGGTACAGTTGGAATGGAACTTTGACCTCTTTTTTTTTGGCACATTTTTCCTTATCATTGTTTAAGAAAATCCCCTTGCATCCTCCAGTAAGCAAAAAGAAGGCGGGTATTTAAAATGCCAAAGGACTTGGGGTGGTGGAACATTCCCTGGAAAGGAGCTGCGGAAACATGAACACGCTGCCTGCATTTTGTCGGCACGTTGCCCGATGGGATTTTTCGCTGTGCAATAAAACACTGTATCTGAGGAGAGAGATGCCATCTCTCTCCTGGAAACTGGACAGCAACTTTGCTTGTTTGGGTGCATTTCCCTCTCTCCCCCCCCCTTTGCATACCTCCAAATCAGAGAGAGATAAATTATCTGGCATTTTACTCATATCAGCTATGATGTTTTAAATGGTACTGGAAGATTTTGGGGTTTTTTTTACAGTTGAACCAGTCAGCTCATCTTGCCCAATACCTCCCTTCTCACTTCCAATCTTCATTAAAGGGGAACCTGTCTATGGGAGAAGCCACCAGTTTAGCATCTCTTGAGCTGTTCCCTCTGAGAATCCAGCTGAGGATGCTGGCACTTAAGCTAGTTTTGGTATGATCTTGAGGACTAGTCTAGCAAGCTTCTTGGCATGGAGGCCATGACCGAGCATAGTGGAGCTACCCCTACCTCGATTAAGAAGTAGCGGAGAAGGGACTCGTAGGTTGTGATCACATATGGACTGCTTCGTGGAACAGTCTGATGCCATAATTCCTAGTGCAGGGAATTGCCCAAGCTGGGCTTTTTTGGGTCCAACTGCAGGGCTACTATTTTTGTGAGCCCAGCTAAAGTAATTCCCTGGCAGAAGAAAGGGTTTCTTTAAGGGGCCTCTCTCCCTGCAAAACAACTCTTTCCACCGTGATCAGATGTGTGCTGCTCCAGCTGTCCGATCACAACCTTACTTTCCCATGAAAAAGGAGAACATGCGAAGACTTCCTCACTTCTTCCGTCTTTGCAGCTGGTGGCCCTAGATATCAGAAATAAGCTGAACATTGGAGGTCATTGTTTTACTTCCAAGATTGTAACTGCTCTGCCTCTTATGTGAATGCAGGTCAGTGTGTCGAAGAAGGAATACTGGCTGCCACAATCACATTTAGTTTTGACTCTTAAGAGAGCCCCAGACTCCAACATGGTGTCAGCTCAGGCCTTCTACAGCCCGGTTTGATGGCGCACCTGGTAGTGGACCTTCATTTTCAGGGCTTGTTCCATGACAGATCTCCACTAAAAAAAAATGCGGAATTAAAGTTGCTTCTGGGGCCCCTCTGGGATTCGGAGGTCCTGAATCTTAAGCTTCATTAGTTCCATAGTAGATCCATCCCAAAGTGCATCTTTTAGGTTAGTAATGGGTGAGATGAAGGTTCTGCTGCCTCTTCTTGAAATCTTTAAAGAGACCCGAAGATACAGGAAGGAGGAGTCGGGAAATAATAAGAAGCAGATGTGGCATGTCTTATGCTGGGGGCTGGCCATCATGCGTACTTATCTCAGTGCTTCTTGCTGACTTAATGGCTGTGGGTTTACAATTGCCAATTTAAGCATCCAGAGTGTTGGGCCACCGGGGTACATTATTTTGCACCCATGGTTCTAAACTCACTCTCCGCTTGCTTTGACCATCTCCAGAAGAGGGTGGAAAGAGAGCATTTTGCTGTCGCATAGCAGCAGCCCCCAACATTCCTAACAATTTGTGCTGCTGCTGGGTTGCTAGGCAATGTAAATTTCTTCTTCTTCTTCTCCCAAAGGCCAGGTAGCCTCAAGGCAATGTGGGTGATGCAGTCTGAGGCCAGCAATTTAGCATCCAGCTTCCAGCCACAGGCAAAGCCTGAATGTTTAAGGGCCAGAGAGTTGTGCTTGCAGTCGGAGTCTTCGGCTTTCAGATCTCAACAGAGGGAATATTTTGAAGATGACTCATGCTCTTGCTGTTTGTCAAAAAACCATTCCCCTTTTCTATAGAAGGGCAGTGCATCCTTAAGCAGAGAAATTGTATATTTTTGTTGGATGAGAAGGAAAGGGAGGGCTAGTGAGCATCTGACGTGAACCATCTGCAGCTGTTTCCAGTCTGTTCTCCCTCACCGGTTTCATATCATTAATCAGAAATGCCTCCCCAGCCAGCATGCAGGCACTCGGATCATTAAGGGAGGTAAGGCAGCACATCCCATATTTTCTCTCAAAAGCCCATGAAATGAACTTTTGAGCCAAAGATGCTCTGTGCCAACAATAGCCTGCAGTCTTCAGGGACACGGCTGTTAAAATGTGTTCCCAAAATGTGCGCCCCAGATGTTCTTTGACTACAGTTATCAGGAGTCATGACCATTGGCTGTTCTGACTAAGACTTCTGGAAGTTGTCATCTAAGAATATCTGGGCACCCAAGTCTGGGAACCATTGTCCTGGACCCTTTGGACATTCCAGATTCCTTCGCCTTCTCAGGCCCCTCAGCTGATCTTGTGGAAAGAAGCAGAAATGGGTCAGGGTATATGTGGGGGCACATTGCTGAATTAAACGCTCTTCCTGTTTTCTCTCTCTGTCCAACTTTGGCTGCTCGCCCCTCCCTTTACAGTTATCAAAAGGCTTCTTGTAAAAAATATTGAAGAAATGTAGCGTCCCAAGTGTCACAGGTCAAGAGGGCCACTGATTGAGCAGCTTTAAAAAACAACAACCTGGGGCTCTCCAGATGTGTTGGACTACAGTTCCCATAATCCCCCACCTGGACCACAGATTGCGGAGAAAGCTGTGATAGAGGTTAGGAGAGAAGAGCGCTGGGATGATAAGCAAGCTTATTCTGCAAGGGTAGGCCCCCAGGCTCCAGGCCGTATGTCCCCCAACCCTCTTCTGTATTTGAGAGAAAAGGTTAGAGTAAAACACACCGTTACATAGAGTAGGGTTGCTGTTATTTAATAAGATGAAGCAGCTATAAGGGGCTTCCGGTGTTGACTTGAAAAGAGAAAAAGGAGGAAGTTACTTAAGCCTGATTGACTGAGCCCTTTAAAAGCGGACTTCCTGCCAGATGCTTTTCTTCCCCCAATAGTGAAAAGAAACAGAGTGATCTGTGTCTCAGTCCTCCAGGAGGAAAGTAGCGTCTGGACAGGGTCAGATTTTGAATGGAATGCAATTATTTATTTATTTATTTAGAAATTATCCCACCTTTCTCCTTAGAAAAGGACCCAAGGTGGCTTGCATCATTAAAAGGCAGTGTTTAAAGCTAACAACAGTGAGCATACACATATGAAAAAGGAGCAAACTGTAGGTACTAAAAAACAGAAGTAACACCAAAATGCATTCAAAGCTGTAAGGGCCAACAGTCCATTTAAAAACCCTCCTGAGGCAGCCCCATCCCTTAGGGAAAGCTTGCCTGAAGAGAAAGGTCTTCTTTGCCTGCTTGCAGAAGGACAGCCAAGATGGGGCCAGCCTGGCCTCCTGTGGGAGGGAGTTCCAAAGTCTGGGAGCAGCCACAGAGAAGGCCCTCTCCCGTGTCCCCACCAAACACACCTGGGAGGGTGGTGGGACAGAGAGAAATTAAGGGACCCCTTCCCTATGAAAAACTGGAAGATGTTGTTGTAAGAAGACTGTTCTCAGAATTCATGGCCACTGGCGATGCTGTCAGGGGCTTCTGGGAGTTACAGCGAAACCAATAACTTTTCCAAACTTTATATTCACCTGACTCCCTTTACACTATTTTTATTAGATAAAGGATGCTTGGAGTGGGGGGGTAAAAGTCCTGTGGAATCCCATGTACAGTAAGGTTGATTTGGATCCACTGAAAGCTACCAATGCCTCGTCAAATATCAATGATGTATAGCCACTCAACAAAGGGGGGAAATGCATAAAACTAATTGCAATGAGGGAGGTGGCTTAATATTTCTTGAAGCGCACCAGCTGCCTGATAATAATGCTGTCTATTGACATTTTTTCTGCCAAAAATGGATTGAATGTACCCTCCCTCCACCCTACCAGCTCAGAAGCTTCCATATCTCCAGTCAGGTTTTGTCTGACTTCTACGAAGTTTTTTGAAACCCATTTCAGTTTACATCTTGACCAAGCGGACCTTGGGGGGGGGGATTATGCAAAGAGATAGTAAGACGCTTCGGGTTTGGTACACACACCACCATATATTTCTGCTATGTTCTTTACTGGTGACAGAGAATACCAATTCCTGGCATTTTTTTTTGCTCTGTCTATTTTTAAAATAAAATTAAATTCTTTGTAAATTAAAGAAAGCAAAGATTGTCAAGGTGATATTTTGCTAAATGCAGAGACATGCCAAAGTCGTATCCTTGAATTTCCCTGTTTGTCATTTGTTACCGCAAAATCATTAAGTGTATTTCATGAATCTGTACGTGTATGTACAAATGCATCTGTGCCACACATTCTTGTCAACACATATAATTGCACATTGAAAGTTAGCATATGGAAGGGTTCTACAGCCTAGGCCCTAGACTTTGTCCTGACATACCTCATTTCTACATGCAGGTTCTTGTTATGGTTAGTCACAGATGTGGAAGAGTCCCCATCGTACGCTCCAAGAGAGACATCAGTGAGAGACATTTAATCTACGTTTTGCTGCTTTTTCTCTCAGGAAGCATTAATTTATGCCACTAGTAACTGCAGTAGTAAGTAGTCTGTACTACCTGCAAAGCCATACAGTGGTGCCTTGCTTGACAAGGATAATTCGTTCAGTTGAAATCGCTGTTAAGCGAAATCCTCGTCAAGCGAAACAAAAAAGCCCATTGAAATGCATTGAAACAGGTTCAATGCGTTCCAATGTGCTAAATACCTCAGCGTCCAGTGAAGATCCTCCATAGGGGCGGCCATTTTCGGTGCTTGTAAAGCGAGGAATCCATCCTAAAACACAGCGGGGAGCCATTTTGCACAGCAGGCGGCCATTCCAGAGCCGCCGATCAGCTGTTTAAAAATCGTCTAGCGAAAAATCGGTTCCCGAAGCAGGGAACCGATCATTGTCAAGCAAAATTTTCCTATCTAAACATCGTTTTGCGATCGCAAAAACTTTATCGTCAAGCGGTTTCGTCATTTAACGAGGTAATCATTAAGCGAGGCACCACTTGTACTTAGGGTTCTGAAGTTAGCCACAGCCTGTACCTTGAGATTTCGGGGCCAAAACTTGAGACCACGGGCAGATCTTTCAGTAAAAGATGGGGAAATTGTCTGCATGTGACAATGCGTAGAGCCTTTACGATGACTCTAAAGGCCAGCCTGCAAACTGCGGCTCTTGACAATGGAAGACGAAGACGAAAAAAACAAGACAGGTTTATCAAATTGTTAGTACCCTGTTCTCTGAGATGACAGCTCAAAACCAAACAAACCTCCCCGAATCTGAGACCCGGCCACCACGCGG